CCACATTTACCCTTTTCTCCATTTTCCCCTCTCCTGCTGTCTTTTTGCTCATCTTCTGTTTTCCTCAGGTTTTTGTTTTCTCATTCTCTGTCATTCCTAGTCTCAGTTTTCCTCTTTGCTCCCTCATTCCACTTCCGAGGAAATATTGTGACCGATGCTCACTGAGAGCATATTGACCTCTTGTTAGAGATTAGCTTATTTTGGAGGAGGTAATGGAGTGTCCATGAGGATGAAGAGGAATGCGATTCTACATCTTTGTTCTACAAACTTTGTTTTGCGCCTTTGTTTTTATTTTGTGGCAACCCGTTTCAAACTAATGTTTTATTCAGTTTCTGCCAGAAGAAATAATGCTGATGGCAACACAAAGCATCGTAGTGGTAGAGATTATAAATGACTCAGCATGTTTTTGTTGTTTGAGTTTATATCCTGTAAATAAGCTTCTACATTAGTCAAAATATGCTTTCAGACAGTATTTAAATATAAATGTCCACCTTCCTTTGTGAGTAAACTTAGTTTATCTAGTCTTCATACAGAATGTTGTCTCAGTGGTTTCTTTGAAGATTTCTGGAGGTGACATCTTTATTCTCTGAACTCGCACACATGACAAATGAGCTGCTTGATCTTCTTGTTTTTCTGGGAATTTCTTTTTATTTTAAAAGAGAGAAAATAATAGGATGATCTAAAATTTGAGGAGAAAAGATGGAGGATGAATTCTATAAGGGCTGATCAGTAGGTAGAACCTGCACACAGAAAACAATCTGAGACACAAACAGATGGCAGCAATGGCAGGCAGGCTAGTAGGTGTAAATGCTGATAGAGAGAGGAAACAAGATCTCACAACTATCAGCGTGGAGACTATTTTCCTTCACTGTGAGACGTAAAAACCTAATTTAATAAAACGGGACTGCAAGAGATGCGTGTCAGTAGCATTGTTGGATTATAGCAGCTTGCAGTATTTGGACATCATTCAGCAAATGGAACGTGACGACTGGGTTTGTGCTTTAATGGTGCACACAGTGACACGATGCTGCCTTTAAACTGGGCTGGGTTTCCTCAGCCCAACCTCAGCATCTCTCCTTTTTTGTCGGTGCTGAATTCTGCCAGTCCTGTTTGCCTCCCAGCTTATCTCAAATCAGTCAACACATCAAGCCCAGCCTAGTCTGCCATTGATCTCTTAAGCCTTTTACAATCCAGTCAATGCACACATGCTAACCCAGTCTTTGATACGGCCCCCCACTTGCACGCATGCACACACACACACGCACGCACGCACGCACGCACACACACACACACACACACACACACACACACACACACACACACACACACACACACACACACAAACACACAGACAGTCAGTCCATAACTGGAAGAAGATTCTCCCTTTAGAGACACATTTTTAAAACTGCAACTGGTATTTTGTCAACTTGCCTGCTTGGTTCTTTTAAAGCACAGAAAATAATAGTTCTTCTTTACCTTGTTTTGCTAACGTTTTGGTTAATTAGAGCTCTGAAGATGGCTCTAGTAATTGGCCGAAACGTTAATCCTGACCCTACACCTCAGCAAACAATGTCCGATTGTGTTTGTCACTGCGTCACTTTCTCTGTCATCCTGGGACCTTTAGTGCCTTTATGGAATGGTGTGGATGTATTTTTATTCTTGCACGTGACTTTTCACTGTCATGAGTTCATCTTGGAGTTGCAAACTGTGTAAGTGTTATTGAAATGATACAGGTGCAGTTTATGACATTTCACCGAGGAGACCATGTTTCTCTCTTTTCTGCCTCTGATGGCTGAACAAAACCTGAAATGTTATAAAATGTTTATTTTAAATTGAGCTAATCTGTCAGATTTAAGAAAAGCAATAAAAGAGACATTTTGTGAAACTTCAGATTTTTAATGTTTTTAATCCTAAAGTAGAAAACATTTGTGGACCTGCTTTATAACTTTACCCCCACAGGTTGACCTTGCTCCTGTTTTCCTGAACTGCAGTTTTACGACCATTTAAGGTTAGATTTTAGTCAACGAAACTCAGCAGTATCTGTTTTGGTAGGCAGGGTGTTATTTATGATCCAATCTCTCAGAACAGATCTGCCACCCTCCCTCTTCCTGTATTTGAATGTAAAATGATAAAAGAACCTCCAACAAGGCCGATCCTTTTATGTCTTTAGATTTTACTACCAATGAAAGCTGCGTTGAAAGCTTTACAGTTCCTCTGGGTTTTAGGGGGTGACCGTTGCAAAGCCTGTTAGCCGGATGTTTAAGGGCAGGTGATGGTGCTCTGTAAAACCAGATCAGAGCGGAAAGGTGGAAAGTTTTATTACAAAAAGATGTCATGGCATCTCGATATGGCCGGCGTAGAGGGTTGACACAAGAAGGACCAGCGAAGAGGAAGAGCGTTACAGCGGTAGGTGCTATTGTAAATAAGGACGTGGCAAGAGAGTGAAGATGGCAGACGTGGTTTATAAGGTCATTTAAAGGAGTAATGTGGCGCACTGTCT